GTGAGGGCGTTTTCCTTTTTCGAGTATGAAAAGAAATGTGCATTTCAGTCACATGATATGAACCAAAGTATTTTATAATGAGTAGTTTATGAAATTTTGTCTAATTGATTGGCATGCTAAAAACAAAAGAGTTTATAATCAAATAATGGATGTTAATACGCCACATTGTGCATGCGCCTGGGCTTTAATGTTGTTCTGACTATGTAACTAACGATGCCAACTTCACTCACTTTCTCCAATATTCGATTACTATTGGATACTATAAAGATGGGAAGGGTTGGTCCTGTCGAAATACCAACTGGGCTGTTCATGAATCACGTTAATTTGTCGAGTTTGAATCTATATATCCTCACTTCGGATTATATTTTATTTTTTGACAAACTATTGTCGTAATTGGTTAAGATGTGATGTTCATGTCATGAATTTGTTTTCGCGTATCTGTTAACCGACTTAATTAACTGATTATTAGCGAATTGCTGTGTTATGTCTGTCATCGTTTAGGTCCTATTTGAAGTTTTGGACGGAACTTGGCTCAGTGGTTTGGAACTAATTACAAGATACCGTCGCTATTCTGACATCCGTAGTTATTAATGTAGTGAACGATTAATCAAAAGATATGACGTATTCAGTACTTAGTGTGATTGGCTTTATGATTGAAGGTTACGCCTTAGAGTCTTTTTACTGTTTTGTAATTGGTTAGAGTTTTGAAAATGAATAAAGAGAGTTTGAGTTGGTCTTTGACGAACACAGCACGACAGACGCAGTAGAGAGAGAGAGTGCAGTCCTGGGCAGTCGAGAGTCCTGGAGAGACTTGGGGCGAGCCTTGACGCAGTCTAAGAGAGTCTTGAGTCAGCCTTGCGAGAGTCTTGGGGACTTTTCCCCAGGGCGCTGTGTCTTATAGAGTGCTCGATTGACCGACTAAGACGAGAGCTGAAACGTATTTCGTTGTGTGTGCCTTATTTGACTGTAAAGTTAAAGTGACTTTCCCGATCCCGTACCTCAAGGGGACGAGATAGAGAGACGAGACGAGTTTCCCCCCTGACACGTGTGGAGAACCCCGAGAGAGAGATTTTACCCCCGTGATAGCTCACACCGACCGGCCGATCTTCGACAGAGGAATATTGCTTCCGAATACCCTTACTTAATCGAAATTGCCTATCATCAAATGTGGACAGCACATTATTAAGCATGGAAATGTCCCCAAAATACTTTCGCGTTTGTCGAATCCCACGCGATGTTTGACGCGACTACGACGCTATGACCTTTGTTTGTCCTGTTTTTACGTTCGATTTCACGCATAACGCGTGATTCTCGCAGTGAACGGAAAATGGTCTATTACGTTTTATTGTTTTGTTCGAGCAAATCAAAACATGGTATTATGTAATGTATTATATCAATGCTAAATGCATCATTCAATAATGAATATTTTCAATGTTGATTTGATTTCGTAATAGGGTGATGGATTCCAGTGAACAACATTATACAGTTTTCGCCTCGCTGGATAATGGGCTCTGAGGGTCTCTAAAACTGTATGTCCACCGCTGTTGGGGGTGTACTTTTGTATTATTATACCGAATACATCTTAAAACAGAAATTGTAACACTCAATTATGGCAATCTTCCTGGTGACGCTCGTAGAAATTTACAAAGAAAGTACAAATTTCAGAAACCTAAAATTCCTTGGTTGTCGACTGCAGATCAAAATGATATAAATGGTTCCAATGGCCTCCGCTTCTCTTATTTACGTCATAAGAGCGCCAGATATATGCATTATGTTGTGTGATGAAAATTTGATATATTCCAATACATTGCATATACATTTCTTTTCTAATTACTTGCAGTTTACCGATCACGCTTCTTGACGGGTCTGTTGCTACAAACGCATTCTCATCACTTTGTTCAACCCAAGACAGCAGTAAATAATAATGTTTGGAGGTACTGCATATAACAAGTGTTTTGTAGTAATAATTTCTGTGATGGTACTGACTATTTACTACTACTCGATTCAGAATTATGACTTTCTACTGGCAATGTCTCCTGCGGCAATGATCAGCTTTATAGAACGGAATAACGATTCAATTAAACTTGAAGAATATAACAAGACGCACGTAACGGGAGGACGCATTGGCGAAAACGCTGTGTATTTTAAATTGAATGCATCCATGTTAGTTACTAACAGTCATATTACACAGACTGATGTACATCTCGACAATACAACTTCAAATGCAGTTCATGAGCATGTGAACTTGAATGGTTGGAATAAAACATACATGTCAGATGGTTCAACCCCGAATACAGATGAACATACCAATTCAGATATACAAGAACAAAATCAACGCTGGAATCTAACGGGGGAGGTAGATCTGGACTCTGTAGCGTGGTTCGTTGGCACTCTAGAGCCTCATGATTACCCCGTTGTTCTTAATATCGCCCATTTCACTTGGGTGAATTGCCCAGAATTCAAATTCTATCATTTGATTGGTTTAATCGGTGTGTATAGGAGTATGAAACCAGACAGAATGTTATTTCACACGGACTGTGACCCGGAACCAAATGGTGAATATTGGAATGAGGCGAAGCTCATACCAGTTTTGGAGATTATACATCATGCGACACCAAAAACAATTTTTGGAAAAACTATTGTTGTGCCTAGTCACAGTTCAGATGTGTTACGCGTACAAATGTTGTTAAAATATGGTGGGCTTTACCTCGATTTGGATATATGGATGTTTAGATCTCCAGAACGCATGCGCTATTATGATTATGTAACAAACCGTGCTGGTGCTAATAGATTGAGTGCAGGAATTATATTCACCACCAAGAATTCCACATTTCTCAAGATGTTTTATGCAACTTTTAAGGAGTTTAATGTGAGTTGTTATGCTTGTACCCCAATATTTGGACATAATAATTTAGCTTATAAGCATAAAGAGTTGCTGCACATCGAGTTTCTGACTTTCAACAAAAAAATCACTGAGCGTCAATTTTATGCCGATTCAATTAAAACAGAAATGAACTGGGACATCAAGCGATATGCCATACATTTCAATCACAAACACATTGAGTTTCATCGTACATATCATTTGCTACCAACAAGAGATAACATCAAGACAGCGACGCATGTTGCGGGGTCAGTTGCTCGATATATTTATTATGGTAGCAAATCTGTGCTGACATCTGAAGATGTGGCAATACCTTGGTATAACCAAACACAAGACTATCCTGAAATAGCATGATATTCAAATGCTTATTCAAGAATAAAATGCGAATTGGATATTTACTAATCCTAAGAAATTATTATATCATGCCAATGTCTATTATCGTAATCCCACGCAAATCAAACTGTGATCTATTTGTGTTATTTGAGCAGATTAAGATTACACAAGGTTTTGAGTGTATACATAATGTATGTTCAGTATATAATGATAAACAACTAGCGAGGGACTTCAAAGTCAGCACACATGTCCCCTATGCATCTCACAAAGATCTTTTCACATTTTTGGAACAAATATGTGTTTATGTATTCTTATTGGATAACTACAAGTGACAAATAGTCCAGTGAATATTATGTTTGACTTAAAGGTACCAAGTCCTCTAACATATACAAACAACAGTGGAATTTGAAGCAAAGTTATTGTTTATTTTCGTGGAATTTTCCAAACGTATTGTATGCTAAATAACATTGTAAAAATAATACACTAACTACCAACAAAAATCTAAAAAAACACACGTAATTAGCATTAAAAAGCGTTTGAGATCAACATTGTCAAAGATAATCAGTGTCATATAAATGTGATAATTATAGATGAACTTATATAGTGTCCATCACGGCATCCATGGATCTGAAAGATGAGGAATAGGTCATGTGATTTCAGATATTAACACTAATATATGCATGCACATATATATGTGTAGTTATTGAACATGTTTTAGGTATATGTCAATTTCTACTTGTAATAATCTATATATGCATGCATATTTATGTGTGTATGAAGTTTGCACAAAGTCACAATCGTTAATAATTCGATTTGAACCACACGCCATCCGCACCGCAACATTTACAGTTTAAGCAATTGAGTTTATCCATTATGTATTTAACCTGCTATATATTAGGTTACGGTATTTAATGAACCATTAGGATAAAAGACGTATTTAGTTGTTACTGATGATCATTATTAATAATATAACATTATTTTTATCCGTGGTCATTTAATAAATTGAAATAGTTAAAATTTACCTGAATACTCGCAAACTACGTCCGCAGTGGTGTCGTCGCAGGAAGCCTCACTCCACAGAAATGTTTCAACTTGATCCAGTCTGAAAAGGTGTAGAAATAATATTTGTATATATCATAAGGCAAAGAAATAAAAGAGAAGGAACATTAACACTTAATAAAACCAATCGATCAAGAAGATTTATTTAGTGTGGTATCCACTAGTCTATTTATTATGATTATCCAGATTGAATAGGTGATTTTCCGAACAATTGCGAGATCTCGCGAGATGCATGAAAGACGCGCGTCGAACGTCTGCCGCAAAAATCGAACGATTTGATTTTGAACTAGAATTTCTTTATTTCGCAGCTTACATTGACCGGCCGATCTTCGACAGAGGAATATTGCTTCCGAATACCCTCACTTAATCGAAATTCCTATCATCAAATGTGGACAGCACATTATTAAGCATGGAAATGTCTCCGAAATACTTTCGCGTTTGTCGAATCCCACGCGATGTTTGACGCGACTACGACGCTATGACCTTTGTTTGTCCTGTTTTTACGTTCGATTCACGCATAACGC